AACCAACTAATCAGAGAATTAAAGAAGGTCCATTGTGATTGGCTGTTGGTCTCCAATCACAACGCTTCCTAAAGAAGACGAAAACGAGTGATATTAGAAGTCCGGCTAGCCACCATCAGACATGACCGAAGCAAATGATGAGAACAGCGTTTTCTCATTTCACATTAAAGTGTTTTAATCCAGGCCATTAGCATTTAGCACAAATGCTGCAAACTTCAACAACTCGCTGAGCTTCCGCGATGCTGTAGGTAGTTCTACTAGCGTTGTGATTGGAGACCAACAGCCAATCACAATGGACCTTCTTTAATTCTCTGATTGGTTGGTTTTGTGGCACAAATGTAACCCAGCTGCAAGTCGAGCGAGCGCGTGAGTGAAACGTCGAGCGAGCGCGTGAGTGAAGAGGTGGAGAGAGCGCAGCAACGGCTGCCTGCGCGCAGAAAACCAGTTTGTGGAGAGGGCACCTGAGTAAACTGCGCGCACGGGATGTTTTTCTTTGCTACAACATAGTTCTCTGCGCTCAAAACTTACAATTACGCGCTCAGGATTGTGGCACAAATATAACGCCATATGGCCCGCGTTCGGTTGAGGTGGGCTGCATCTGGCCCGTACCTGACTTGAGTTTGAGACCCCTGCTCTACAATATCAGGAGAATACGTCCCCTTCTCACTCAGAAGGCAGCGCAGGTACTGATTCAGGCTCTTGTCATCTCCCGCCTGGACTACTGCAACTCCCTCCTGGCAGGTCTCCCTGCCACCGCCATTCGACCTCTGCAGCTCATTCAGAATGCAGCAGCTTGACTGGTCTTCAACCTTCCGAAATTCTCCCACACTACTCCACTCCTCCGCTCTCTTCACTGGCTACCGGTGGCCGCCCGCATCCAGTTCAAAACATTGGTGCTCACGTACCATGCTGTGAATGGATCGGGTCCAGCTTACATCCAGGACATGGTCAAACCCTACATCCCAACCCGCACTCTCCGCTCTGCATCTGCAAAACTACTCGTCCCTCCCTCACTGAGAGCAAAACACTCGACTAGGTCTCGACTCTTCGCTGTCCTTGCGCCGAAATGGTGGAACGAGCTCTCTGAAGACACCAGGACCGCAGAGAGCCTTCACATCTTCCGCCGCAAACTAAAGACACACCTCTTCAGACTACCTTGACTAAGACTAACAAATTGTAGCACTTAAATTGTACTTGTAACGTCACTCATCTATAGCAAATTGTAAATTGGCTTATTTGAGGAAATTGCACTTTCTTGTTTCTTGTTCTCCTGAGTTTGTACCCTATGGTTGAATGCACTTATTGTACGTCGCTTTGGATAAAAGCGTCAGCTAAATGACATGTAATGTAATGTAATGGTGCACTTCCTGTCTTATTTTGTAGTTTTCTGCCACTCGTGTCCCCGGGTAACTTCACTTCCTGCCTGGTCCTGTCACCCCCTGTGATTGTCGGATTGTTTCCACCTGTGTCCAATCACCTGCATCTCCCTTGTGTATTTAAGCAGTGTGTGTTGTTTGTCACTTGTGGCGTCATTGTCTCTTGTATATCGCCTGTTTCGCTTTCCTGCCTGCCTTTTTCCCCCCCTGTGTGCGCCCGTGTGCGCGCGCGCGCCCTTGTGTGCGCACGTGCGCCCTTGTGCCCGTTGGCCTTTTACTTTGTGGGAGTTTTTGACTATTGAAGTCTTTTTCGTTAAAAGTCTGCGTTTGAGTCCTGCCTTCCTACCCAGCCCTGACAGAGAGCTGCCCTTTATTCCGGGGGAGTGATAAACTAATCCAGCAGCTCAAATAAACCTGCGCCGGAGCAGTGAAGTTTTTTTGATGTGTTGTGTAGGATATTAGAAACAAATATACGACCCGGTTCATAAAATTAATAAAAATGCATATAGTGTACAGCCAGAATACAGCCAGAATTCTGAAACTGTGTAATCAATAAAGTAATGACAGTATTGTAAAACCACTGTAAATCTGCAACTGTACTAGAATAATACCAATGTACAGTTATGATTTTATTTGATGTAATGTAATCAACTGGAATGCATGCATGTAATACTTGAACAACAACTGATATTGACTAAGAGCCATTCGAAATCCGAGTTACATTGAACTCACCAGAAGACCACTCCCAGAGGTGTGGACACTGACTTTCACACCTTTAAGCATTGTTATAAATACCTGTAGGAACCATTGTTCTCGAGTTCGCTGGTGGAGGCGACTAGGCACTAGGGATGGTCAAAAGGACTGACCTGGGGCCTGTTGGTTGCTGAGACCAGCGGCTCCTCAGCTGAGATGTTCTTTTTACCAACACCATCTCTTTTATTAAATACATTTGATTTTAACCTTTTGATCAGCGATGACCTCTGTCCGTCCGGCGTTTGTTCATTTTTGAACACAACATGCTATGGTTATTTAGCCAAACTTGCTTCGGGGAACCGAAAAGCCTGATTTATCTCATCCTGAAAATGATCCGGCTAACTCAGTTAGCCACTTACACGGAACGGGCCCAGTTCTCTTCGATTGAAATTACAAAAATATTTAGTGTTCGTATTGGAGTACCGGTAGAAATGGATTTCAACAATCAAGGTTTCACATATATGCACATAACAAAGATAATATAATCAAAAGAAAATACCTGTCGCTAGTTAAAACCATCAGACTGTACCAAGCTTATGTTAGCTAAGCTATATATATATATATATATATAGCTATATTATAACACAAGTCGCATAAGTCAAAATGGAAGGCTAAATATACATGGCTGACATTAAAATGGCATTCGGACGGGTTGCTTGCTGTATCGTGGACCGAATTCCCCATTTTTGTAGGTCGAGTTCATGCTGCCTCACTGCTCTTTCACTGCTTCCTTCACGTTTTTAGTGTTGTTTGAAACATGTGTGCTTATAGTCAAAACCATCAAATGCATGGCTGTCGGCTAGAAGTGAGAAAACGTCTACACATCTAATGTTGCCGGACAAGAAGGCCATTTTTATTAATTTTGCAAATTTTCCTCCTTTCATCATGCCCAAATGTTTCCCCGGTCCATCCAACAGTGGTACAGAACTTTTCACAACAATTACCCAAATCATCAATGGCCTTCATTAATCTTAAAACACACTTCATGGGAGTAAATGTCTTCACACAGTCTATGTTTTGGTGTCAGTTTGGTGTCCGCTATACTCTGGACAAAGCTCCTTTGTAGGATCCATCACGACAGGCGGAGGCATGTGCAGACACTCCACCTGAGCCCTGAATTCCTCTATCTCTTTCTGCTCCACCTCCCTCCTCCTGCTGAACAGGTACAAATGCTGCCTCTTCCCGGACTCCACGTTCATGTGCATCAGCATGCAGTCTGGACAGGATGTGCGGACAAAGTTTGTCGTGAGGTTGCTCGGGGGCGTCCCTTCGTAGGTGAAGCGTCCCCCTGCCAGGGAGACGTTGAAAGACCGGTACAGGCACGTGCCGTCCTGACGGATGCTGCGAGAGTAGGAGATGGCAGCATCGCCGGTGCTGTTGGAGAAGTTCACGTAGGCGCTGTCTCTCTGTTTGAATCGCTCCAGCAACGGCAGGTGGCTCAGACTTCCTGCAACCAGAGCCCATGTTCCCACCAGATGACGTGGATCCATCGACTCCGGAGGCCAGGCCGAGTCCTCGCAGGCCAGAGGAGCCGCCCGGCTCGCAGGCATCAGGCAGAGGAGGGTGATGGCGCACAAAGCAGAAAGCATTTTCTTTGAGGGAGCGGTCACAGTGGTGAACAGAGAATGTGGCAGGTGAAGACACGGGGCTGGTTTTATAGTTGTTTCAGAAAACTAGTTTCGCAATTTTGAAAACCCCAAAGTCAGAGTCCTTTTGCACCTGGGAATTCGGTCATGTTTTAATACTGATTATCCACAGTGGGGGTTTACGGTATTGGTCCCTAACGTGGTTCTCTTTACTTCTCCTGGATTGAGGTTTTTGTTCACACTTCGATGGTACTTTATTACTGCGATCTGTATGACCTGAGGACTCGTGTGGATCATTAGGTTTGCAAATGCTTCAAAACTGCAGAGATGTGCAATTAATTTTCACTCACAGCTCGGCAAGGTCAAACTCAACTTCAATAAATTGAACACTTGAAAATAATGATTTATTTGGGATTCATGAATAGTATAAATATTCAATATTCATACTATACTAAATTGTATAACTTGGAACATTGTTGTAAATACATTTGAAACCAAATCCACTAAGTTGTGTGTTGAAATCTCTTGACTTATTGCATCATTGTTTTCATGGTGGTTCCACCAGTACAAGAACATTACAATATTAGTTTAACGGGAACGTAGCTGCCCTTTGCTGTTTGAAGAGCTGTTGACACTAAAGACTTGTGCAAATGTAGCTTGTGTTCTAACATTTTGTTTGTTTGCCATTACCGTCGCCAGGCGAAGCGTGTGCCTTTGTGAGTGTGTGTGCACCTCCAACTCCAACTCTCGCTGCAGCTTTACACAAAGCATCTTACCCGCTCAGGCCGCATGCTCAGGGACCTCTCGTGGTGTCGGTGACTCTCGAAACAGCCACTACAGACACTAGGACTCTTCCCTCAGAAATATTAAGGGGTCAAAGGGTTTCACATGTTTGTGGCTCCGATAACACGACTTTACACATTTATCTCTGCTTGTTCTTGAAAGAAGAAGTGACGACACTTTACGATACAACCATGGCCGTTGACACACCTGTTTGAGGTTATTATTATAAAGAAATGTATTTACTAGGTAAGGTAATTTAATGCCTGCTCATAAAAGAAAAGATTGAAACTACATTTTCCTTTGTTTTCTTTCAACATACCAAAAAGACCTGAGAGTTGTTAGTAAAACCAGGCGCTCTCATCTCAAACAACAAAGACTGGATGAATAGACAAATGCTGTCCCTGGGTTATGACTAAGGAACAGATAACATTACAAATCAAACGCTGAATGTTTGCATGGCGCAAGGTTGGTGTTTTTGGACCATCAAGTAAATCAAGCAATGTATTGCAAATGTCAGTTTAATCATTAAATCATTCATTAATCGTTTCCAAGCTGACATCTCAGACAGGCTCCATTCAGTGTGTTTGTCTGCGGTTTATAAATCCACGCACAAACTCTCAAAAGGACATCCGGTAAAAATACAAAATTCATACTTTCCGGTATCTTAAAATAATCTTTTAAAACTGGCGACGTCCCACAAAATATTCAGTGGTGCACGTTGCTCATGAATTACACATTTTCATGCTGTTAGTGTGTGTATTGTCAAAACCTGTAATAAAGTCATTATACTTGAATCAAAAGTATCTCTAATGAAAGACCAAAATCCATACAAATCAGCCTTAAAATCATTAGATGTCTCTCTGAAACCAGATCTTTGGATGTAAAATGTCATGTTACAATCATGGAAATTTCCTCAGGAGTTGGATAAAACCGTTTAATTGATCTTCGGCAGCTGAAATGTGTTTTTTGTGGTCGTATGTAGATTGTCTGGCTCATCTGCCAACCAGAAATATGTTTAAAAAAGAAGCAGCACTGGGAGGGGGGGGTTCTACATGATGGAGCAGCACTGGGAGGGGGGGTTCTACATGACGGAGCAGCACTGGCAGCTCTTGTGTTTGCGCGCGTCGGCTGCCTTACCGGCCAAGCCGTGTGTCTCTGCGCCGCCGGAGGCCGCCGGCGGCTCTGAACTGGTGTCGCTAGACCGGCCCAGGAGGGCGTCCTGCTCCCTCGGCGCGACATCTGTCCTCTGGCTCTCCTGGGGGTCAGCCAGGGGCACCTCCTGGAACTGTTCTGGCGGGGCGGCAGCATTCGGGGATTTCGGCGCCACCTCGGCTCCCTCTGGTGACGTTGCAGCTCCGCCCCCTGCCTCTTGCTCGGGGGCGAGAGCGCAGGGTTGCGCCCGGGAGTAGAGCGGCACCAAAGCCACCGCAACGCCCTCTAAGGCGCCGGCTGGGGACTGCGCCCGGGCAGAGGTCGGGGCTTCCGAATCTCTGTCCTGCGCATCAGGCGCGTCGCCGCTTTCGTTGGTTGCCACGCCCGCCTGCGAGTCTCCAGGTGCCGAGTGTTCCTCAGCAGCGGGTTTAGTTGCCTCGCTCTGCTCCGGTTCTGTGAAGGTTTCTGGAGCAAGCTCCGTCTTCACCCCCCCCGTCGCAGCCTCCACTCCCTCCGGGACCGCTTCCTCTGCCTTTGTGGTCTCCTTCTGGTGTGCGAGATCCTCGGGTACCTCGTCCCCCTCGTCTGTGATGATCACCCGCTCCGCTCTCATCACCAGGATGCCCTCCTCCTCCTCCTCCTCCTCTTCCTCGAAGTTGACGCTTGGAGCCTGACCGGGCTCTGCCTCAGAAACGCCCAAACTCATCCCGGGCTGCGACATTATGTCGCCAACATCTCCGTTGGTGGAGGCCCGAGAGTCGTAGTCGCCGTTGTCGTCGGCGTCGCCATTGTTCAGGAATGCTGCAGTTTGCTCCGGTTGGGTGCTTTTTGTCTTCACTTCATCTGAAGACAAAATATCAAGGAAATATCACTGAGTTAAGGAAAATGCTTTAAAAGTTACTGTTGCTCATGCATTCAGACGAGGCTGAGTGAATTTGCAATCAATACCCCACATTGTCATTAACACTGATTACAAGCTCTCATTGTGTGGACGCACTGTGACCTGATTGAAACCAATATGCCAGTGATTAATACAGCTAATTTAGTTATTGTATTGCAGTTAACACAAAGTGCTGCCATCCATTAATCTCCACGCATTACGCAGGAAAGTAATTTAGCGCCGCTCTAATACACAACGCAGAAGCTAAAGGGTAGCGCTGTTTCAGCTACCGGCCATGACGCTTATATTGTATATTTGATATTCATTGTACCGTAATGACAAACGGGTAACAACGCAGAATTAAAAAAAAAAAAAAAAACGTAAAACAGGGGGTGCATTTTAAAGTCATGAGAGAAACAATATTTGATTAAGTTGGATAAACTAGCAGCAGAACCAAGAGCAGGCATTAAAATATGCACATGTCGGCAGTCTGAACTTAATGACCCTGGATGATTTCAACACAAATGGTCTATTTGCTTCTCAGAACTCTCTCCTGTCCACTTCAGCAGCTGCTCACGTCCCCGCTGCACTCTGGAAATGCAACGGATGCACTCGAGTGCTGCTTTGCATTAATATACATGCACATCCTTATTTAACATAATGTAAATATTCATTCACAGCATGTATGAACTTGTTGTAAGTTGCAGGTATGCCGGCGCCTGCCTCTCCTTCCTTTGTGATGCTAATTCCTTTATATATGCCATGCATACAGACACATATCTATAGTCTTTGAGGGGCCGGGCTAAGATGTGGATTCATTAACGATAAGATCTTTTCAGGTTCAAAGGGATGACAGAGATGTTGACATCAATGAGAATACAGATGTGGGTTTAATGTGCGCACGACTTGTTTCTGGATAATTGGGGTGTTGCACTTTGCGCATGAGCTTTGCGAGAGTGTTGTGGTGTTTATCTGTGAGGGGTTTACGGCACCCAAGTCAGCTCCATACCCACCCGATCCATTGTGCTCTCCGTTCTGCACCACAGCACCGTGCACCATTTCTGAGAAGGAGAAAATGTATTACTGGTGGACATGCAGTACAGAAATGATGGATTAGGACAAGATGGGAGTATTGATTCATGCTGCTTCTTGTCAAAGTAAAATAGAAGACGATAAAACTTCAAGAACCTTCAATCAATATGTGCTGATGTAATTGGCGTAGCAGGCAGAAAGCAGCGTGTCTGCACGCGGTGGTGTTTAACATGATGAAGCCATGCAGGGTTGATGCGTATTGGAGCGAATAGTGTGTCGAAAGAGGCGGCGTGTGGAGGACAGAAAACCTTTCGCTCTGCACTCAGTTACATAATCAGCTCTTTGCTTTAAGATCACAATGTTGACTCTTAGAGTAAAATTTGCATTGATTTATCGCTTTCTCGTTCTTTAAAAAAAGAAAAAAAGATGACGCGAATCCATGTCTCTGAAATGTCCACTGTAATATTACTCTGTACCAAAAAGTGGATGTGATCCCACTCACCTGCTTCAGGTGCTGCCTCTTTAACAGCCTCCTGTTGGGTAAGAGGAACAGTGGAGGGATTCAATTGACTGCGACTGAAATGGTGAAAGCGTTGATTGTGTTGCCTGAGCCTTGGGCGTGTTTACAATGCTTGAGCATCACACGGGCTTGAAGGAAACACATCTTTCCTCATGGTGCCTGGTTAGATATACAACTCTCGCCGTTAAACATAACCTCTGTCTGGACACAAGGGGGAGTGGTTGAGCTGAAAAGCCCTCCCTGACCTTTGACGAGTTGCGCCCCCTTTTCACAGCTTTCTGTAAGATGCACTGAATCGCATCAGATCAGATTATTATGCGTGTGTGTGTGCACCTTACAGCTAAAGCCAGTTTGCTCTTTTATTTTTATTATAAGTCCAAAATAAATCATTTTGCGTAAATGGACATCACCCACTCACTCAGACGGCCGACCACACTAAAGCTTTGCAGGCAGGGCCTGTTTAATGCAATGTATTTTCCCCACAGAGGATAAGGTCATACATTCTCTTCCTTCATGCTGTATTCTTTGGAGCACAAGGTAGGAGGAGGAAGGGCCAACTTCTTTCCCTGCCATGAAGACCTTCAGAGAGGTGAAGTAAACACCCAGCGCTTAGCTTGAGATGAAACAACCATTCCTGGGTGGATCAAGGGTTGAATGGCTTATGTAACAGGGCTGCTTTCATTCACGGTGCTCAGAACTAGAAGCGCTACGTCAGACTTATATTAAGAGAGGAAACAAATTATTCATGTCAAAAAGCCACAGACACTAGCGGTTGGGAGTCTTCTGTATGATGGAAGATAATGGCGCCGGCTTGTTAAACACTTATCCAAAGCTCCTTTGTGTCCACAGGAGTGAGTGGGGGCGAGTGTAAGTTCCTCACCGTTTGGCTGTCCTCCGTCTGTTCACTCTGCAGCTGTTCCTCCTCTGCCAACCGCTGACTCTCAGACTGCAGCCTGAGACGCACACAGAAACCATCACATCTAAAGCCTTATTTTATGTCCCCAATAAAAGTTGTATTATAGTCGTGTTTGTTTTTATTCCTTCTAGTGATTTATTTAAATTGCCCCACAGGGTCTTGGACAGTGACACCGAGCTGTGGACATTTGGAGTAATACTTTGGAGTCTGGTCTTCAGGGACGGGACCACATTGTGCACTGCAATGAAGAACAAGTCTTGCTCCCTGCCTGGCCGCAGCGCCGGTGGAATTAAAAATACACTTTGCCAAAGCATGCCTAATGCATGACGGCAGCAGAATAGAAAAGAGGGATGCTACTTTCAATTATACATGAAGTTTCCACCAAATACAATAAAAATGTCAGTTCTCTCCATCGGTGTCTACTAACAAACAGCCTGCGTGTCATCTAGCCACACACAAAACCTGTCAGTGCTCTCTTCGATCTCCTTGGCCGCGGAGCCCCGAAGGGGGGAGCGGGGGCTCGGGGCCTCCAGGGAGGTCGGGGACGAGGGAGCTTTGTCCATCAACCACTGGTCCCTCAGAGACTTTCTCTGCGAGAGAGAGAGAGAGAGAGAGAGAGAGAGAGAGAGAGAGAGAGATAACGTCCAGCAGCATTCTATATTGGTGATATGATTATATTTTATTATTTAAGAATAGTGTGAGATTATATGAATTTCCCAAACTCTTGAGCCATAAAGTACTGTACACCGGTTTACATTGACTGAACGTTCTGTATCAGTGTGCATTCAAAATAACAGGTAAAGTTAAAATTGCCGTAATCAGAGTTGGTAAAAGGACACTATTGCCCTAAAGCGCTTAGATGTCCATTGTCATTTGCGGAGATTAAATGTTGGCTAATCGTCCATTGGCTTTTGGTGCTAGGCTAACAAACCGTTTGTCTGTTGCTGCTGTTGGCCACACATACAGGGACCGTTTTCTCTAGGCTACTGAAATGCGATACAACAACTATTTATAATGTCGCTGGCAACCGTGTTATGAAAGCTATGAGGTCCTGGAGACGGTACTGTATCGTCAATAATGTAACATATCGCCATTTATTGTAACGTTAATAATGGAACAAAACCTGTTCAAGGGTTTGCTTGCACTTGGCTACGCGTCGGGCCTAACAAAACCCTTGAACAGTAAATTATTGATGATATAGTTCTGCCTCGAGTACCTTATTACAGGATTGTATCCTCTTCGCCCAGCTTTGAATACAAATTTTACATCCATCCATCCAAAAAACTATCACAGAAAAAACAGTGTTATGATCCTGTACACCGCTCCAGGAAATAGACATGACCCAGTAAGATGCAAGACGCCCGAGCCTACTTTGCATTCCCTCCGAACGGAACACAAGAACAAAACACTTTCACAAGAAACAAGAATACGATTGTGTGTATTTTGTAGAGCTGACTGCTCCTGTGTCGAACAGACACACAAAACCACAACATTCCTTAGAGTCTAATGCTCATTTAAATAACGCCGCCTTTCTGCGCTTTGTTTGTTTTACCTTAGTGTTCCGGACCGTCACTGGGAATGTGGCACATACGCTTATTTCCCCCCAGGACACTACAAAAGTACATTAAACAAAAGTTGGACGTCCTTCGTGGTTCATCCAGAAATCCTACCAAGCTAAACGTGGTGATATAATACTGCACAATCGGAAAGAACACTGGTGTTGGAAGAGATGAAATCTAATGTTGTGATGACAGTGGTTTAAAATAAAGACAGGGGACATTTCCGCCAAATAACAAGTAGATACTTCCCAGATGGCTGAACAATGTCGATTAATGAAAGTCTTCAAATCAGATCGTTGGGAGGAGGAAACTCCCTCGGTCCTCCTGTGCGTTTAATAACTGGCATCGCTGCAGCCCGGCTGACCTCCGTGTGAAGGCTCGTTCCAGCGGGCTGCTTAAGTGCCCTTGAGCCGGACAATGAACTCCTTCCAGCTCTGGGAAACGCTGAACTGGACAAGCGGACGTACACAGAGTGGTTCTGCAGGGCCTTTCTACTGTAGTGAATCCATTCTAGAAAACCGTACCGCGCCATTGTACAGATCCCTGTTTGGAGCACGCGCGCACATAAGGGGTGCACATTTTGGGGAGTTTTTCCTGTGCCGATGGTGGGTTTTGGGACAGAGGATGTTGTATGTGTACAGACTGTAAAGCCCTCTGAGGCAAATTTGTAATTTGCGATTTTGGGCTATACAAAATAAAATGAATTGAATTGAATAAGGCGGCACATGACCTGCACGCAGATTTCACACAATTTGAGGAATGTGCCTGTGCCCCCCTCACCCCTGGGGGCCAACGGAGTACGGAGGAGTGGGAAGTGGGAACGGCAGGCTGGAAACGATGTGAAAACAATAGAGCAGCTCGGAAGAGAGCGCGAGTGACTTCAGCAGACGAAGGTTCACAAGCAGGAAGCGCTGAAGGCTGTGTAGTTCATCTGTGTGTGTGTGCGTGTGTGTGTGTGTGAGAAAAGAAAGACATTTGGAGACCATTCCCCTCCTAGCGAGCTGGAATCGGCCTACAGAGGATTTGAGCTGAGTGAAATGGAGGCTTGGTGGGAACGAATGCGACGGCTCCGCTCATGCCGGCTGTGCAGGTCAGACCTTGAGCTGCTGTAGTCGGAGCTTCTCGTCCTCCGCGTCTCTCCTAGCTCGGTCCTGCTCCTCCTGCAGCCGACGCTTCTCCTGGCGGGGGAGGAGGTCGAAGCGGCAGGCGTGCATTAATGAGGGGAAACAAAGAAAGCGACGGCAGTGAATAAAACATCACCGGGAGTAGAGAATAAAAACAAGGACACCTGGTCAGCCATCTGTCACCAGGACACCGTCACCACAGGCTTCAGGCATACTGTGTCTCATGGTGTGCGGAGCAGCTGTCCCCATAGTAACCCGGTGTTGTTTTTCATGGGACCCGGGACACCCTGGCACGCCGCACTGCTCACCCCGTGAATTATTCAGGACCGACGGAGGTCGCAGTGGTGCAAGTGCAAGGTTCATGCAGTCGTCCAGCGCGGCAAAAATTTTTTTTTTAAACGGGAGCAATAACGATACTCCCCCCCTCTCTAGTTTCTTTGTTGATTTCTTCTTTGTCTACATAAAAAGGTGATCAATACGAGCTCCAATTTGGATTTGACTATGCATTTCTTAAGAATGAAATACTGAAACTTGATGATTTCAATCATAATCAAACTCCTGTTGGGTCTAATCAGCTACTCAACGAAGCACTTTTAACATTCAGACTTCTTCCCCACCCAAAAAAGTATAATATTTCTCTGAGACCTGCACATGGCTTTCTGTGCTTGCGTGCGTGCGTGCGCGGACTCACAGCAATGGCCTCCAGCCTCTGTTGGTACTTCTCCGTCTCATCCATCCTGGCAGCTGTGACACAACAAGACGGGGTAGAATGTCAGAGGTTAAATAAATACAGTAATGGCCGGCCGAGAGGAGCACGAACCCGGGGGCTCTACTTCACGTGTATCCTCAGCAACCCTCCTCTTGTGGAGCTTTCTAGTCTTTGTGGCCTCATGAGGTTTTGAAGCAAGCTTGACAGCTTGGTTCCATGCTGATGTCCCGTCAGATGATGCGTGTATGTATCTAGACATTAAACAGACTTCGACCTTTACCATTTGTGAAACTTCGCGGTAGTATTTCCAGTTGTGAATAATCACCCCCGAGCGCCCCGTCCCTCCCTCGCCCCAATGACGATAAACAATATTTGTTTCCCCCTGCAGCTGCCACTAAAAGGGACAATATTGGAGCTCCTCAAAGTGGGAGGCACATGACAGAGCGTAGACTCGTCCCACATTGCAACTCGCTCATTAGGGAGTTCCTGCCATCAAAAGCCGTAACTACTTTTAGTCTACTTTTTGGGAGAGAAACTTTTGTTCTACATGAAGTTCTGCACTGAGTGGGTTTCTTAAAAAAAAAAAAAAAAAGTTAAAGGCTAAACATGATAAGAAGAATCATTGGAGAAATAGTATTCTTGTAAATTGGAGCTTTATCCTCGCTGGCAGCAATAATCTTCCAGTCACTGACAATCCCGCCTGGCGTGTTGAGAGATCTGTTCTACCCCCAAAAACACATTTAGCCATCACAGCAACATGGATCTCCTATTGGGGAGATCTGAGCCATGCGGCGCCCTATTTCGGGAACAACTACCACACTGTCACCGCCGCTGTCGCTAATCGCCATCACAGAGCTTTGAAGCGCAAAATATGTGCTTACCAAGGAAAGCGCGCGTCCGCTTTCCTTGGCGCACACACACACACACACACACACACGTTCCAGTTACACAACCTACCAAACCTGTCTATGGACGCCAACGAGAAGCTACATATCAACCACACGACTCCTCTCTGACGCTCACATCCTCCACAAATGAGGTCTCCCCAGAAGGCAACTCGGTGGAGCCGACGCTTTTGTTGCTCATCCAACATGGAAGATGTTACAGGGCCAAGAAACAACACCTGAAGGAATCCTGCAGCGTCCTCCAGGTGTGTGGGGGAAAGGGGAAAAGGGCCCTCATGAAACAATGTGAAAAATGCAGGCGCACTGCACACAGGGAGGGAAGGAGGGATGAAAGAAGAAGAAGAAGAAGAAGGGGGAATGTTTTCATGTCCTTTTCTTATGCTGGAATTCTCAGGAACTGAGGAGGCGAGACAATGAAGAGACGCAATAAAGACAGAGAGGGAGACAGAAGACACTCTTCTCACAGAGGTAGAAGGAAACAATCGGAGTGGCAGGGCTCTGAGTGACTGTAGGTGCAGAAACAGCTCACACCACAGGCCTCCGTGGGGAGTGGAGGCTGCAGGAGAGCGCCTAGAATAGCAGCCAGAGATAAACAAGCAAACACAAACAGAGGCTTTGATGAGGAGGTATTGAGGAGCTCCCCGTAGACACATGCGCCGACTCCGATAATTAGATATGATACAGGAAGGGTGGGGGGGGCTGACAAAGTCAAGGAGGCAGAGAAAGTAAAGATGGATACGGAGTCAAAATCCGACGACCCGTGAGCCAAATTTGAGGGCACTTTTGATTCAGGACGAAGAGCAAGAGATCATTTCAGATGAGATCTACGTGTGTTTACCAGGAGACCCTCAGGTGATCTGAACCAGATCTAATCAGTGGGCTTTATTGCATGGTTCGTCAGCACGGCCCCGGACTTGTGGTTCAGGACTTTTTTCTGGACGTGCTTACAAGTACAGATGTCAAATTGCTAAGTCAGTAAATTTACTTCCCAGCGATTTTAGAGACCGTCACACTCTGACTAACCTGAGCACCATGTATAGGAATTAATAACAAAAGGGATCTTAATCTGCCTATATGGATCAGCAGTGACAGACAATTGCAGTAAAATTCTAAATTTTATGTTTGCGCCCTCTTTTCTTTTGTGCTGATCCGATCAGTGATTTTTATGATCCTTTGTATCCCTAACAGACAAGCTGTGAATGTAATTCAGAGAGCAATAACGTTGACATCAACATTGTAAGAACACGTAAGTGTTGTAAGTCAAGGTGATAATATTATAGATACTTTAAACCATTCAGCCCGTTTGTAAATACTTCCTGTTCTTTATTTGGCCGTGTTCACATTAGAAAACCAATCGGACATGTTATTAATGAATCTTTGCACCTTAACTGTGAATTCTCACACAACTCCCACAAACCTTCTCGTGGTATTCAGAACGCACGGACGCCCCAACATGGGATGTGCGACATGTTCCCTGCACACAGAACCCGATGCAGCTCAGAAACAAACCGCGGCAGTAAAACACAGGAGACTCCACTGAGACACTGCTCCAATAAATAATAATAATAATATAATACGGGTCCTACACACAAACACTTCACAGCTGAGGAAGTTGTAGGCTGTCTGAACTCAAGGGGATGAGTCCCCCCCTACCCGTTTCCTCCCTCGCCCCTACCCGTTTCCTCCCTCCCCCCTATCCGTTTACCGCCCCCTCCCCCCTACCCGTTTACCGCCCCCTCCCCCCTACCCGTTTACCGCCCCCTCCCCCCTACCAGTTTCCCCCCTCCCCCCTACCAGTTTCCCCCCTCCACTCTACCAGTTTACCTCACTCACACGTGGGACGGACGCTGCTACGGCCCAAAAAGGTGAGAGCAGAGACGTTTGAATTGTGCATTGATGCTGCAATTGGATCATCTATGTATGAGTCAATGAACCCTTTCATCAAGGAAAAAGCAATAATAAAAATACAGATTCAGTTCCGTTCATGTCGCAGTATTTACCAAAAAGGTATTTTCTTTTGAAGCCTCGTCCACCTGGACTCAATCGCTGCAGAAATGAACTCAGAAATGAAAAACCCAAATCTTAACGGTCACAATTTCACACAAACGTCTGTTAAAGGTAAAATGACTTTTTTTTGCCAGACATCGGCGGAAGCAGACAACCGCTAGGCGGTAATCCGAAGTCGTCGTCTTTGACAAAATATGGTAGTGAGGTCAAAGATGTTACATTGTGGAGAAGTGAAACTTGACTCGTCGTAGTGGAGCTCTGCAGCAGAGCTTCGACTTCGCTACGTTAAGCGGACTGAACAATCATGACGAGAACCAGGTAGATTCAAATGTATGAGATATTTTTTGTGAAATTTCATCAAAACCGCCAAACTTGGTATTTTAAGAGGAATCATCAATTGTCACGTTTTCATTTAAAAAAGAAATTTATCTAACAGACGTACATAAGAGGTTATTCTTTCTTCTGTTGTACCGCGTATTATTAAAGGATCTTCAGCTAGCAAAGAGTACAGACTAGCGGACCGCGTACAGCCGGTTAATACAGCCACCACTTTACAGGCCGTACGGCATGAAGCCCGCGGAGGTTTTAGATCACACTTGGAAAAAAAAAAAGACAAATTAATGCCAATAAATCCAATATTACAGCCACACAAAACTGGCAGCAAGCCAGTACAAATGTGTCATGAGTCATATTAGAGTTAATCATTTTCCCTTCAAGAAAGTTGGTACAAGGTTAATCTTTGGTATCTAGGAATAAAAATATGCACAACAACAACAGAGTAGCCAATCAATTTCCTGTCATCAACTAAGCGATGAAATTAGACCTGTATTTGGTTTAATAAAACAAATTAGCACTATTCAAGGAGCTTAACACAGTGTGTGTGTTTTTTTTTCTGCTATTCAGTATTACTAAAAAACTGTCAGCATGAAACATTCCTCCTGCCCTGCTGCAAAAGAATGTATATTTGCTTTCAGAGTGTGTGTGTGTGTGTGTGTGTGCGCGCACATGTTTACATAACAATGTATATTTGCCTAGTGGGGTGCCATGGAGCCTATATGCCGAGTATCAGTGTGGTGACTTTAGCTCTGTGGGAACAGATGGGAGAACAGTGGGGTGTCTGGTATGCAAAACCCGTAAGAATCATTTAGCGTCACAGCTTGCTGCTCTTGGACGCAACACACACACACACACAGCTGTTTGTCTTAGGCAATATGACTTCTACAAGGCAAGTGCTCTTTATTCTGAAGACTAGCAAACTGTTTTGGTGTGCAGCTCAATCACGATCAATCATTATTTCCAAAACGGAGCGAAACGGCATAAATGCCACATAAAAACAAAGTAAAAAAAAAGGTAAAAAAGACTGAGGGAGAGGCAATCAGTGCGCACAGCGTGAGCTGCCGGTGCTCACACCAGCGACTCTGTTGTAACTTGTAGAGTAGAACATCAGTGACGGCATCCAGGAGCTGCAGCACAGGAAGCGCCCAGAAGAGCAGAGTGTCAATGAAGAGTACATGTTGCAGGAAGTGATGTCTGACATGATGGTGACACTAGGGCATCACGAAGCAGCTCATTCACATGTAATAAAGCAAATGGGAAGGGATTGCACCAGTTATTAGAAAGGGAAGAGTGCAGCGTTGGACCATGAAAGCTGTATCGCTAGACTTGACAAATCCCTGATGTTATTATTGCAAAATTAATCTGTGCATTATGTCCCTTAGCTAGATGAAGTTTTTGTCTATAAATGTCAGGAAATAGAGACATGGCTCGTCTTTTGCTCCATCCTGATCTCTAATATATTTAGTCTACCATCATATTTAATGCACTTCAACGTCAGAACACATTGTCTGTCTGAATTGGCCGAATCTGTAAACACAGGCCACAGAGATGCTAAAATAGCTTGAGGTCTAAAAGGAGTTGGGAGGAGAGGGGGAATGGGGAGTCATTAAAAAGGCCACCCAGTGACATTTTGTTTTTGTGTGATGATGCAATTACTCTGCTGTTCGACCGCCGGCCACCCTGCTTCTGTGCACTTTGAAGTTTCTGCTCCATTTTGTGGAGGCGAGAGAGGATGGAGGTGGGAGGAGGTTTGAGGGTGATTACAGTGGAGACGGAAGGGGAGAGAG